AACCGGTCTCGTTTACAGTAGATTCCGAGCTAGCGGTGTTAACGGGTGGTGGTGGGCGTCCGGGGATAGTGGGCGGTTTAGATAGATCGGTATATCCGACCGCGGGGACAGTTCCCTCTCCAATCCAACCGCGATAACCAGTGGTGAACGGAGGAGATTTACCAGACGTATCCTTTCTGCTCTCACGGAGGGCCTCGAGTAGATCGACACGCTCCCGACATTGGAGTTCTAACTGGCGGATGGAATCCTGAAGCGCCTTCTCAGTTTCGTTCTTGGGGGTGTACTTGGAGGGTACCCGATAGGCGTTATGGTAGTAAATGGTTTCGAGGGCGGAGCGCCAAGACTTCAAAGCTTCTTCTTCGTTGTTCTGTACGGAAGAGCGATCAGTGACGAATGGAGTCAATTGATGGAAGCAGAACGGCAGACCTGTCCTTCGAAGTAGACGGCAGTCGAGCACATCAGATAACAGTCATCGTAGGTCTTCTGCAGGGAAGACGCCGGTTTGGGGCGCATCATGGATCAAGTACGCCCAAGGGATCTTCGGCGGAATTGCAGGACCCGCCCGCGCGCTATGGATGATAGTCGGAGTAGTGTAATACTAGTTAATCGTAGTCTGGGGGAAGGAATGGCACAAGGACGGGGGACCAACTTCTGCTCATTCGTAGGGAGGGAGGCAAAGGAAAAAGAAAGAAAGAACGAAAGACGTTCTGGACGACGAGGACGTGAGTGAGTGAAGTCGAGAGGTCAGAGTGAGAGAGTAAGACATGAAAGTCAGTCAGTGATTCTCCATTTTCCGATTTTTCTCTTACCCAAATTCGGTCATGATTTCGCGTGACGTCGTTGGTGCACCGAAAAAGGGAATAAAAGGTGCCCCACGATGATGGCAAAACTTCTTCCAATGCTACTCTAGTAACTCTACAGCCAACTTAACTCCCTTTTCTTTTGACATTTCGTTTAGTTTTGTGGTCCCCGGAGTGGAGTCGAGTGTCAGTCCTTTATATTAACGAAAATGGATATCTGCGCCAGCTCAGCCTGGCTGGTGTACTCAAAAGTAATTGCCCGCCATATCATCCCGTCTATGTATACATGGGTCCCAAATGCGTAATATATCAGAAGAAATATTCCAGGGTTCGGAAATCGATCAAATGAACAAAATAAAACCATAAGTGAAAAGGAACAAAGCCTCCAAAAACAGTTCCCTTGCGTGCCAACGCCGGTACAAATATAGCATACATAGGGCGATCCAAGAAAAGCTCTCGCACTTTTCCCGACACAATCCGTCCCACAAGATGTATATCAACCATTACCAACCAAGAAAATGAAACCCGATGACCAATGGTGAAAAGAGGTACCGAAGAAAGGGTGAGACGTCCTCGCTCCGCCTCATCCGCTGTGGTTCCAGCCAGGCTTTTCCGGCTAGTGTCTCGGACATTTCGCGTACATCCCGAAAAAACGGTGAATGAGAGAAACGGAGCCCGCGCGAGAGCAGAAGAATCAAGATCGAGCTAATAAAGAGAATGGACAGTATGAACGTCACCCAACATGGCTTGGAATTCCTCTCGCGTCGCATTTCCGCCCTTCGCACGTGATACGTGGCCGCTATCAGCCGACCTTCTTATTTTTTTTTCCTTTAAAAAGATTTTTTGTTGAGTGATTTTGATTATTGTTTTGTTGGTCATGGGAGGCCTTACGGAAGGCCCCAGGATGGAGATTTATGACGGATAGTGTGGAAGTCGAATTTATGCGATCGGGCCAGTGGGAAGAAAAAGACCCGTTTTTTTAGATGACCTCCTGGCGCTTGAAGTACGCCTTGGCCATCTCATAAGAGGTCCTTTTGCATGACATTGTCAGTAAAAACCCAAACACAGCAATGGGGAATTTCAGACGAAATAAATCAGGAAAGATATTCACTCACCAGCAAATGGCTGTGCTGGGCATCGTAGAAATGATGCGAGGACGAGCGCCACGCAGGAAACCACTCCAACCGAACTGCCGCTTGATAATGGCCGCGGCGTTGAAAAGACCCTTCGCCGACCGAATTTCCTCGTTCTGTGCCAAACCGCGGGTCTGGAGGAGCGTCTTCACCACGTCGAGCGGTGTCGTGAGACCAGCTGCGAAAGCGCCTGCGAGACCACCCGCAATACAGTGGGTGAACGGGTCGTAATCCCCGGAGGGGTTCATAACCTTGGAAATCGACTCATAGGCGACGAACTGTGTAGCGGTGAAGGGGACGGTCATGCAGAGTGTGGTAGGATAGGAAACGTAGAAAGCCTGAAGACCTTCCGTCCGGTAGACAGACCGGGCGCATTGAAGGATAGTCTTGTGTACCGAGCCATGGACTTGCATACGTTGCTTAATCACTGTGTTTTTCGATTAGTACACAGCGGATTCGTGGTTTTTATTTATTTCTTTTTGGGTGGTGTTGGGCTTGCGGGTTACTCACCATCAAAGGGGTTCATCAAAGCGTCACTGGCAATGGTCGCCGAGGCACCACTCATAGCTGTTCCACGTTAGTAACGAACCACTTAATGACAGACAACATCATAACCCCATCGGTCACTTACCTGCAGCTAGGGGATGGTGACCGTCATCGACATTGCCACCGGCAAGATCCTTTACAATTTCATATGTGCCAAAGTAGACAGCGTGGGCGGGGCCTATTCGGGAAATTCACATCAGCCTCCGACACCTCCGAGTAGACATCTCCGTATGCCGCGGGCTCCGCTTACCAGCACCGACAATAACGCTGGAAACGCCCTTCCATAATGTCCGCCAGCCCTCAATTCGGTAGATTGTGGAAAACGCATTAGTGAGACCGGTGTAAAGTCCGCCGTTCGCGGGATGCAGGATTTGCATGCGAGTCTAACGTGAGGGTCCGATGTCAGTATTTGCCTGCCTTTGCAACACGTCACAACACAAAATTTGCGCAACGCATGAAAAGAACTAGCATTCACTCAACATACCTTCAACAAGTCCACCGGATACATGACAGCATGTTCCTTGACTATTGTCAGTATGGGACCGACCATCCACCATTATAACCCATGTTCTTGCACACATACCGCTATCCCTGCGAAGGCACCAGCCAGCATATTCCGGCCGAGGCCGTAGTTAGAGGGGAGGGCCTCGTAGCTATCATAACAGTATAATTAGCCCCGGGAGCCCCAACATAGTGTATAAAAAAAAAAAGCCGGCCTCCGTCTGGGAAAGGAACTGTGGCAATCAGGCAATAGAGAGGCAAGAATGTGGCGTGAAAACATAACAATGATTTTAACCACTCCCTATACTTCCCAGCGAGCAATTGGCCAGGCGAAAACAAGAGTTGAAGCGGGTTTTGCGGGAAAAAAACACATACTCATATTCTAACTCCTGCCCGGGGATTTGTTCGGAGACCGCCATCGAGCTGTCGAAGCTCCAGACGCAGCCGGAGCCGCAAAGAGGAGGGAAAAGGGTTAGGAGGGAGGGAGGGAGAAAAGGGCGCGCGGTGCTAGGTGAGGCGTCACTGTTGTGAAGGTCGAAAAGAGAATACCGAAGAAACCGGGAGCAGGTTGCGGAGTGGAGAGGTAAATCACTAGGGCCACTTCCGAGGAAGGGAAAAAACAACAAGGAGGAAAAAGAAGTATAGAGGAAGAGACCCGTCTCAACTACCCGAGGAATGGAAAAGAATCAATGCGACAGGAGCGAAAGTGAAATAGGTGTAAAGAAAAAAAATATTGATGAGTTGAGAGGATGTAAAAGAGGGAGGGAGAATAAAATAAATTAAAATGTTTAGTCGGGGATTAGAAGTTGTTACCAAGAATGGAAGTCCTTTCGGTCGGCTCGACGAACGCTGGATTCATGGAAGGTTGATTAAAATGTTATCTGATCCATTTTAGATTAATAGAACCCTCCAGGGAACCACTATGGAATTTTCTGTCTTGACCCAAATACACACTAATATGGGAAGTGATTCATTGTATATTCTTAGGCGTACTGTTCCCATCAGTCTTTCTGTTTCATTCTACTTAATCTGTGAATTTTCTTCATGAATGTACTCTGTACTGTTCTCTGTCTAGCTGAACCTCCGTTAAAAAAAATTAGTTAAGCTACGCCAGTTGGGACATTTAGACTGCTGAATCAGCTTTCCCCGGCTAGACAAAACCAATCCAGGATCAGCGACCGTCCTGGTCCGATGACGGAGTTTATTCACTCTCACCCAGCACATCCCCCAACCACTGACAATTGACACAACCAGTTGACCTGTGGCAAGTTGACTCACACCGTTCCGACAGCCTTCCGGATCAATTCCAAACAGATTCACCCAATTCCCCATTCAAGACATGCAAGAAGAGGTCCCAAAGAGCCAGCCAAGATTGCCACATCTGACTAACAGGAGAAGCAGAAGTGCCGAATGACGGAGGAATGGCCCGTACCTCCGCCGCGGCAGCTCTCCTAAAAATCACCGAGCGATGGAGCAAGGTCACTATTCCCTTTTCTGATTTTTCTTATCTGATGGATCCATCCCGCTGTCCTCCTTTCTGAAATTCTGATTAGTCCGTACTCCTTCTCTCTTCAGTCATAATTATAACCCTAAGCGAACGACCGCGGCTCACCGGGGATCCCGTAAATACGGTAGTATGTGCAGGGCATTAAGTGACTAATGTATAACTCAGTAGTTCTTAGGCTTTTCTTCTTTCGTACAGGTGACGTGAAACTATATTGTATGGGGTTTCTTACGGAGGACTCCGCAGTATGTATGTTCGTCTTATTAGGCAACCACGAGTCCTCAAGTTCTCGTGTCGGGCATTTCCGCGGATTCCATATCGACGGGGTGTTTTACATAGGGCTCCTTACCTATATACCAAGATATTAATTTGGGCATGGATTCTTGGGAAAAGAGAAAGACTGGACAATAGAAATGCACAAACAATGCAAAAAGGAATAAATGCAGCCCCACTCCGCACGCGATGTCAAGTACAAGTGGTAGAATTGAATATAGATGTGGACGTTCCCCTATAGTAGATGATAATTGATACAAGAAAGCAAATCACCAAGTAAATAACACCCACGAAAAGCTCCTCTCTTAAATGTTCACAGTGAAACTTTCCCGCAGAGAATTCAGCGCTGTCATGCACGTCGTTAAAGCAAAAGAATGACTGGGCCTTGGGGACCAACCGTGGTTAAACCCGTTTCCCTTCTATACGGTTCGCTCTAATCTACCAGTCCACGTTGAAAGACCATTCGCCTGGAGAAACACACGAGTCAGTTCTCTACACCAAAATTTTCTGTGGGGTTCATGACAGAGTCCGTACCATTTTTCAGATTTTCAGCAGTGTCACTCAACAAAATCACCCGCCGTTTGTTGCAATAGGCCGTTTTATCCAAGATGTCCACTTTGAGGTTCGCTAGTTCAGGTACAGGCTTTTCAAACATCTCGCTGAGGTTCTCCACCGCGAGCTCCAAATCTTTCTGGTTATCTTCAAAGATCTCGGTCAGGTTGTTACGCGCAAGGTAGTAGGCAAAAGCATAGGTCCACTTTAGGGTCTGTCGGCATTGTTGAAGTGCTTGTGACGCAGTGTCGAGAAACTGTACTTCGATCCACGATAAACCCGACTGCGACTGAAGGCTCGTCATCTTCTTTTCCGTCTTCAGGTAAAGGTCTTTGTCGAGCTTGGCCGATTGCTCATGGTTTGCATATCGGTTGTAGTAATGGAGATATCGCTCCAATGATGCTCGGGACTTCGCCTGTGCGGTGCGGGCCTCGGATCCTGATTTCTCCTCATAGCGATTGCAATTATACCAGCTAGTACCGTGCTCGGACCATAGACCCATGCACATCCAGCAGAACTCATGCTTGCATTTGCGGCACGTCATATGGTTGCAACCTCCGTTCTTCTCAATCGTCGAGTGACACCTAGGGCACTCTTTTGTGTTGGCTGAGATCCAGTTGGCCGTTTCGGAATCGTCTTCACACTTCTTGAGCCACATTTTGACTAGCTGACAAGGTGCTGGTTGATGGTCGTTAAGTGTGCAACCAAAGCAGAAATGATGCTTGCAGCTACATTGTACGGTGGGTACAATGCGACGGAGGTCGCGCTGCTTGACCGCACAATCAACAGCGTATTCACAGTTGGGAGCTGGGCACCATTTGAGATTTTCCTTATCATCGACATAGGTTCTTTGTAAGAGGGTGTAATACCTAAACAGTAGTTAGCGGCAGTATCCACCTGCATCCAAGCTAAGTGGACTCACCTATCCTTGAGGTCGGGTGTGACAAGTAGGCCCAACGACTTAGAATCTACGATCATATTACAGCCATCACCCGGACACTCTATCCTGGCCGCTTCTCCTTCCCCACGAATCTTTTGTGCAAGGTAGTGGCGGTAACAATCTACACAGAAACGATGTCCACATCGCATAGCGTATGTCTCCAGGTTATTGTCATCCTCGCAGCAAATCTCGCACACGAATCCAGGTATTACTTCAGTCTTCGGTGTGCCCTCAAAGTTCGTCCCTAAGCCGGCCTCCTCCAGCGTTTCTTCGGGATGATCCATGTAGCCCTCAATAAGCTTTTCCCGATTCCATCGTCCATACCGTAGAAGGATGGCAGAGGATTCCGGTGGTAGACTTAAAATCGATGATACTTCGTTGATTTGTCGAGTCTGTTCCCGGTCGATGTCATCTGGGTTTAGGACTTTATATTCAACTTCGTAAGGTTTTCGTGAAGTTGCAACAATGTCTTTATCTTTCGAGAATCCGCCGTCGAAATCATCACCGAAATCTACAAATAGCAAAGAAGAGGCAGCGTCAGCACCCAGTCATGACCCAGTCATCACCACCTTGCAAAGCTGTGGGCCGCAATATTACGTACCTTCACCTAGCTCTCATCATCACTCGCCTGGGTGTCCAGAAAGTCATCGGCGCTGGAGGCAACGCTCATAAAATCATCATCAGACTCCATGGTGGTTGACGCCGGCGTAACCAAATCAGGACCTTCTTTTCCGCGAACCGTGAGCACCCCCGAGACGACGGAGGTCAGATCGGTAGCGGGGTTAAGTTCTGCGATACCAGGAGAATCTAAGTTCGTCTTGCGAGCAGACTTCCGGGGAGGAGGTCTGGTGGCGGCTTGCGAACGGGCGACGGAATCCTTGGTGGCGGAGTGATTGTCTGTTATCGCCGCCTCGGCCGCCTTTCGCTTCCTTGTTAGAGGAGGCGTGGTGAAAACAGTGGTGTCGCGGCAAGCCGGTATGTGCTGGCACGAAAAAAAAAGTAGGTCCCGAGATTTAACGTCGAGACCTTCTCTTTTTTCCGAGACAACACAAGGCGCAGCTTACCAAAGGCGGGTAATCAACCTGGGGAAGGCTGATAGATCGAACGGGGGACGAAGGACACGAAGGGCGGACTGAGAGACCGGAGTGTGCAGTAGCAGCAGCAGGACCATGCACTAGCTCTCAGGCGATCAATCGTTGGGCGTGAATAGCTTATCGACGTTGGCACCTTTTGGGTCTTGGGGGAGACGAGAGGGGTGTGGATGTATGTAACTAGGGACGGGAGACGGAACGTCACGGGGGAGAGTGGGGGAGCCTTAGGAAGACAAGCCTCAGGTTTGTTTCTTCGCCTTGGGGGGGGTAAAATTGCACTAGAGCTCGGTATTGCCGAGAACAACGGAAAATGGAAAGTTGAGCTCCAGTGTCTACCAATCTGGAGTCTGGGGTAAACAAAGAGTTGCTTGGATAGGGACAGGGGAAAAAATCAATAAAAAAGAAAAATT